GATTCTTAATACTTAAGACTGTTTTAAACACAATCTTAAAATGTCGTAAAATAATTATAACAGAGCCGTATTAGTATCTTAAGACATTATTTGTAAATATTAGCCAAAGATTAGGAACAAGTGAATGGAGGAGCGCGCGCCGGCCCTGAGCGCCGCATGGATAAGAGCGATTATTCGTTAACTTTAACCAGCTCTCCTGCCAAAATTATTTGTCAGATCACAATTTGCTAAAGGAAAAAGTTGTTCCTTTTAGCACAAAATATAACGTCCTGTACTCCGAATGCGCCAATTCTGGGACACCCTGTATATATATATATATATATCACGTTTCGCAATATATGACGAGTATAATTACCATGTGGTAGCAGTGGAAGGATAAGGTAAGAAATCTTCCTGCGGTAAGCTTGCAGGGTATTCTTGCGCGTGCTACTATGATAGGCAGATTAGTATCCCGCGGGAAACTTAGCCATTCCAGGTCATGCGCTATCGTTGCAATATTTTCGCTCTTCGTCGCGGCCACCGCGTAAAATCGCGTTTTATTAAGTTTATCATTAAAAATACAGAATTCTTATCTACATATATTTCTTTGTGAATTACCCTCTCGATGATGCACTCGCTAACGTAGCAATATATGAAAATGTAGTACATAATCGTGAGCACGTATAAGATGCACGTAACACTGCCATGGATGTTGCTGTGTCGAACGTACTGGAACAAGAGATTTTCCTATTCAATAACACACGTATATATATATTATTGCATACGCAGTGATATATAAATATTTTTTTGCTGTACACGTTTAATTAGAGAAAAGAGTCGGTAAATGTTCTTTACCAAAATAAGTTCGCGTCCCTGTAAAACTAAGCTGACCCAGTATCCCAATAATTGTAAGAGAAGGAAGTCGCGAAAGGACTTTTCTATAATACTCGCGTACCTGAAATTAATAATTAATATAATGATACTGTCGTTGTCAAATTTAGAGAAGATATAGGGCAAAATATCTTTTTAGTCTCAGAGTTATACAAATGCGCTCGAGCCGT